GCATAACCCAAGGAGCTTTTTCTTTCCAAATCCCGGCCAAAAAACCGAGGATCTCCCTGGCATAACCCAAGGAGCTTTTTCTTTCCAAATCCCGGCCAAAAAACCGAGGATCTCCCTGGCATAACCCAAGGAGCTTTTTCTTTCCAAATCCCGGCAAAACCCGAGGACCTTTTTTCTTTTCGTCCCGACATAACCCGAGACCCTTTTTCCTTCCGGCATAACCCGCTCATTTTCCAGCATAACCTGGATTCATTCACAAGAATACACAATCCTGATTTGATCTCTTAGATATGTGTCACAACTAACTCACGAAATCTTCCTAGTGAAAACTGGGGCAGAAAATTCCGTTCGTTTGTTTGTTTTGGTATCTTAAGCAGGTCGACCTCAAGACACAAGGTGTGAGATGACCAATGGAATAAATCTCAATCCAGAATCAAGAAAAGAAGAAAAGAACAAAAACAAATGAACTCAAATGTGAAGCAAGTAAGGGTGCGAATTGCTCAAAACCTGATTAAAGTCACAAGCTCCGCTGATCCTATTTTGACCTAATGCTGCATGACGAAGTAAACACCTACAACTTGCGAGCATCAAGATTCAGATCGAAGTCCACAGCAAAATCAGCTAAGACTCAAGATCAAGTTTCAAGAGAATTATAGATAGGAATCTTGTAACTCATAGTTGATAGGCATAGCTAGCTTAGCTTTGATTTTCCTTTTGGTGTAATAAGGAGGTCAGCAAGCAGTAGCAGCAGCAACAGCAGTAAAATCACAGCTCCTGGTAGTCCCAGCTACCAAACCTTCCCGAACTACACTGACCTGATTCCTTTTTAGCCAAGGATATGTAGGCAACCTTTGAAGCAGGGTGCGGTCAAACTTTTCAGAATTGCTTCACACGGAATATTCAAACGGGCAAAAATCGCTCGTATTTGCTCACTTATCTTTGTTCGAAAACTCTCCATGTTTCCGAGCAAAGAGGGGCAGCTGTGAGCACGTGAGTTTTGCCCTATATGAATTATTCCTAAAAATTCAAACAAAATGATTTCTCTCATTATTTTGCATTTTTGTGGATTGTTATGACATTTTATGTTAATTGTTTGCATTTCATTTGTGCATTTTAATTCATATGAGAAATATAAGAGTACACTTGGCATTTGTTTAGGATTTAATCTCATATTTTAGGATTAATTAGTAGTTAAGGAAAAAATAAAAAAAATAATAAAACTGGTCTTTTGCATTTTTAGTTTTAATTTGCCTTAATTTGTATTTAATTAGAAATTAGGCTATTTGGAAATTAGAAAATATTTTTTTTTAGTGTCACTTTGGGTTTTGAGTTTTAATTCAGCATTTAATAAATCAGAAAAAATAATAAAAATACAAATTGAAAACAAAATAAAAGAAATAAAAGAAAACAAATAAAAAGGGGTGCCTTAATAGAGACCCATGATTTGGGCCACCTTCAACGCCAGGCCCAAGCCAAAAATCACCCCCAGTCAGCCCAAACACGCCCCTACCCGGTCCACATGACCCTGCCTTGATGACCAATAAAATGATGTAGTACGAGAATGATACTACGTCGATTGAGCTAGTTAATACAAAATCAATCCAAGCCGTCCATTGCCCATAATCCAACGGTCCAAATTCATTTGACATAGTTGATAAAAGTGTCTGAAAATCCAGTAACCCTATAAAACATATTTCTTCTTCCTCGTACCCCTCTGTAATGCCGCCGTGCCCCGCCGTGTTCCGCCGCCGAAAATCGCCTCACGGCGGCGGCCGGCCTCCATTTCCGTCCAAAATTACACCCCTTATTCCCCTCCTCCTCCTCATTACAGATCCACAACCCGTTTCCCTCGAACCCCAACCAAACTCGTCGAATCTTCAGCTGCTACTATGGTAGCGGC